TTACAGCACCTGTTATTCCCAAGCGGTCACCTATCTAGGTACTGACCATGCTCGATGTTGCTTAACTCGGGTGATCGTACAGAAACTGGTTTTTCAACGTGATATGGCTGTAAACCTTATAAAATTTTAATCAGCTAAAAAAAGTAAAGACTGATTAATGATCTCTTTGTATAAATATTGGATAAAAAAATTGCATATTTGAGGATTCTTCAAGATAACGTCCGCATTTTATAGAGTTTATACAAACTTAGATATCAGCCAATCAATGGACACCTGATGATGACAAAGGGTACTTTGTCGAAACGTTGTATCTGTATTAACATATATATTAATCAATAGGAGCACTTTGACGTGGTGTTATGATAAGCAAGCTTGTCTCGTTAGATCAGTTTCGACTGGAAAGTGAGTTCGATCCTCACTAGGTGCTCCATACTTTCGGCCTTGTGCCACATCTAAGCTACGCTTGGAAAAGAGCCATATGGGTACCTCGGGGCGCAGTAATGGTTAGCAAGCTTGTTTCGCTAGAACAATTACGACTGAATAGGGAGTTCTATCCTGACTGGGTGCCCCATATTTTTCGGTCTTATGACACATCTAAGCTACGCTTGGAAAATCACTATATATCAACCAACAGTTCGAAATAATAAAAGGAAATTTCTCTGTTAAAAGATATGACAAAAATAAATAAATATAAGGATCTTCTTACACTATTTTTATTCGGACTATTCGTCCTCATCTTTGCTGTTTCGGCCATTGTGTCCTCCTGTCTGCCTCAGGTGTGTATCCTTCTGGGTAACCTTCAGGGAATTCTGAACTGAGCACTTTATTTAATCGACTTTTAGTCTGTTCTCATTCCACTGCACATGTCTAGGGATATCTCGTCTAGTTCTTAGTTTTAGTACTGCACAGTTATTATTCACGCGTTTTCAGACAATGTGTACTCAATGGAAACGGGCGAGCAATACCTGACCAGTACTAAAAATAAAAAAGATATTCCTAGACACGGGCAGTGGACGGAAAACCGTCTACCCTCCGTAGATTAAATAAAGGGTTCAGTTCAAAATTGGAGAGATCGATCTACACCTGAGAAAATCCCGGGGGTGGGGGTAGGTCACAATGGCTGAAATGTTGTGATAAAAACAAGAAAGATGAGAACAATAGTCCGAATATAAATAGTGTAAATAATGATATCTCCTTATGCCAGAAATTCTCATTGAAATTGTTGAAACTCGGACATTAATGGAATAAAAGAAACACTATAAACTCATCTAGACCCTTTCATACTAATGCAGGTACCCCCACCCAGCGGGTTCCATCCCCGATCCTACTTTGTTTTTAATTTTCATTAATGACCTCGATGTCATCAGCATTCAACTTGGACTGATGACACAACCATTTAATCTTGTCTCGACAGTAAGTCTTATCAGATCAATGAGGTCAAATTGGCAGCGGATGTCCAAAACGATTTTCAGTTTGTTGTTAACTGTGGCAAAGGATGGCTTGTTAATTTTAAGACATCCGAAAGTAAACTGCTTTCCATTATTTATCTGAGATACCCCTCTCTGCCTTCCATCAATATGGCTGATGCTAACCTCCAGGAAAGTAATTCGTTGCGCCTTCTCTGGTTAACGTTCTCATCTGACATGAAGTGAAAAGACTATATTAAATCCATTGCTAGGTCAGCTGCTAAAAAAATTGGTTCACTGTGTCGTACGAGACAATTTTCCCTCCAGAATCTATCTTCCATATTTGTAAGTGTACCATTCGTCCATGCTTAGAATATTGGTGCCACAAATGGTTCGGTGTTCCTGTTATTTATCTAGAGCTTTGTGATAAAATCAAAAGAAGAATTAGCAATATTACTAGTCCTGATCTGGCATTTCAGCTTCAATCACATTCTCACCGCCGCAAAGTTGCCTCCCTGTACATTTTCCATAAATAATTTAATGTTAATTGTTCGGACTAGCTGTTCGCTATGGTACCTAGACGTTTTTAATTTAAGCGCAGTACTAGATTCGCGTTTAGATCACATTAATTTACAGTTGAGTCGACTAGACGTGACCGTTAATTATACGCTAACAGATTCGTTTCTAACAGGGAAACTCTCTTCTCACTTCATGTTTTCCAGCTAACTTTAATATTCAAAAAATTTAAATCTAATGTCAATCGCTATCTATTGTCCTCCTGATTGCTCTTATTTTGTTCTCGCTCCTTAGTAATGTTTGTATTTCTAATTTTCCCACACCCAGTAACCCATTGTGTATTAGTGACTTTACTACCTTGCTTGGTAGGGTGAACTTGACCAAAAAAAAAAAAAGTTATCTAAAAAATGTAACCCTGAAATACATTGGAAGAGGCCGCCGCTCTAACAACTGACAATACCTGATATTGTAGAGTAATGGCTAAATGTATAAATATTTGTTGCATCAGCCTGTACTAAAAAAATGCAAACAATACCCGAATTATAAATGAATGAAAAAAAATATGCAATTCTATTGAAATAAGATGAATGTTAAATGTTTACTCGTAGGAAATGTCTTGTCATGCCTAAGTTAACTTTTCCGTTCATATAAAAAGAATAATTTTCATGGGTGAAATAATCAGAATTAAGAAAAGGAAAAAGGAGGAAGAAAGATGGGTGTGGAAACCAACTGTAGAGTTGTTGTTTGTTTATTAGAACGGGGCGAAATAAAGAAATTAAAAAAAAAATAAATAAATAGGCGAAACATGAAACAAACATAACAAAGAAACAGTGATGTTTTACAACAACAAAAAAGAAAAAAAAAACTTCCTAAACGTGACTTTAGAGATCTGTACCGGTAATTATTGAGATGAGAAGAGGTGACAAACAAAGGTTAAGTAGGGAAAAAAAGGAAGAGGAGGAAAATCGGAAGAGAGAGAGTGTAAAAGCAAAAAGGGGAAGATGAAAGAAAAAAAAAGACGAATAGGGGAGTAAAATAATGATGGGTACAAACAAGAGAAAGTGGTGAACGGAATAATAATAATAATAATAATAATAATAATAATAATAATAATAATAATAAGGCACATGACCACATCAACAATTCTAGATGTAGTTGGAACTCACGGTTTGCCTGGAAAATGTTCCGATAGGACCTGCAAATCGAAGTAACAAAACTGTGACATCTTAAAACTACGATTATCACTTTTGTGATAATGGGCATTGTGCATGATAAAGAAGTGCACCAAAAAGTACGTGAGGGTAATTCCTAGACGCATCAGCATCTCAGTGCTACAAAAGATCACTGTATACGGAATTGTACATGTCCGCAAAACCCCATCCATCTAAACGAGTTGTTAAATCTGAAAGAAAAAGAAAAAAATCATTAGACGCTTAAACTTAATTCACATTTAAAATCGGTCCAAGTTATTGGAACATCCTTTATTTTAGAAACATTTACATCGCTTGAAGTAAACTTATTGCAATTTTTTTTAGATAAACTAGAATAGTTATCTTTGGTTTGTCAATAAAAATATTCTTTAAGAAATCCGACTATTTTACTATTTATTGCAAACCAAACTGGCATATTTCAAAACAAAACAATTTATAACCAGCATTATATCAGAAAAACAAAATAAATATGAGTTTCTCATATGAATATCATTTCAGTTTATGAAACTATTTAGAAGTTATAACATTTAGAAGATAAAAATCACTGCATTATACAAATGACTAAGATTTAAATATTAACATTCTGAACTAAAATCAAGCAAGTTATTTACTTGAAACACAATGACACAAGTAAAAACTTTCTTTTCCCTTCTTTGCTTGCTGCAAAATCAAATAAATATGAATTTTTCATATGAATATCATTTCAGTTTATGAAACTATTTAGAAGTTATAACATTTAGAAAATTAAGATCATCGCTTTATAAAAGGCTGAGGTGGCCTTGGCTGCAGCCTAATCTAGCTTAAAAGATAATCCGGGCCTGGGTTAAAGGCTGCAATCTATGCTAGCCTAAAGGATAATTCGGCACTGGGTCATAGGCTGCTGCTTGTACTAGCGTAAAGCATACTAGGTAGCAGTCTGTCTTTGGTAGTCTAAAGGATAATCTGGTTCTGGCTCATAGGCTGCAGTCTGTACTAGCCTAAAAGTTAATCCGGTACTGGACCCTAGGCTGTAGCCTATAATACCCTAAAGGATAATCCGACCTAGGCCGGAGGCTGCAGTCTATACTTATCTAAAGTTAAATCCGCCCAAGGAGTTCTTTGCTGCAGTCTAAAGTATAATCCGGGTTGTGTCATAGGCTGCTGCCTGAACTAAACTAAAACATAATCCGGCCCTGGGTCCTAGATTGTAGTCTTTATTAGCCTAAAGGATAATCCGACTCTGGGTCCTAGGCTGCCGTCTATACTAGCCTAAAAGAAAATTCAGTCCTGTGTCCTATGCTGCCATCTATAATAGCCTAAGGGATAATCCGAACCTGGGTCATTGGCAATAGCCTGTATTATAGTAAAGGTTAATCCGGTCCTGCAGACTAGATTGCAGCCTATACTAACCTAAAAGATAATCCGACCCTGGGTCATAGGCTGCAGTCTATAGTAGCCTAAAGAGTAACCCGGCACTGGATCCTAGGCTACAGCCTTTAATAGCCTAAAGGATAATCCAGCCCTGGGTTCTAAGTTGCAGCATTTACTAGCCTAAATATAAATTCGGCTCTGGGTCCGAGGTTTCAGTCTATGCTAGCTTAAATGATAATCCGACCCTGAGTTCTGTGTTTTCGCCTATATTAGTCCAAAGGAAAACCCATTCCTATGCGGAATTGCTCATCTTCTCAAGTGAGTATTATTAATGTAAAGTATATATGAACAATCCAAACGTCTAGTATCATTGTGTAATGTGAATGCATATTTTTACTACCTTTTCTTAACCTGGGTTTCGATTGGTTGATTTGTTTTTTTACGTATTATCAACCCTTTGCAGGTTATTTAAATCCAGAAAATATTTTTAGATATTTTGGAGATAATAATGATTTACTGATATGTCATATTAATTAAACCATAGCTGGTGGGGGAAGAGATGAATTCATACATTTTCCAAGGGTATTTGCACGTAAGGGAATATAACGAATTCGACTGGAATCGGAACT